GTTTATGTTGTAGTCGAAGTAGCAGCTGGTTTCTAAATTTGGTATTTGTAACCTAGTTGTAAATTATGACGGGGTGCTTGATCATTTCCCATTCAGGAAATTTCACTTGGACTTGTTTATAATACCCCCTACTCCTAATTTGGGAGTTTTGGAGAGAAGAGGAAGAAAAAAGAGTAAATAAATAAATAAAGAAATAAAAATAAAAGTTTAAGTTTTGGCAAAAGAAAAGAGAAGAAGAGATTTGAGTGTGTTCTCAGATAATTTGGGAGCCGTGGAAAACTTCCTTTCACCTTAGGATCCTGATATCATATTATTAACATGTACCTACAAAATAAATAAATAAATAAAGTGAAGATAGAAGTTTTCTCTACTGCAAAAGGGGCAACCATAAAAATAAAATAAAATAGGCTTCTTCCATATATTTGTTCTAATAGTTATTGGAAATAATTACATTTAAAGAGCACCTGTAATCTTGAACATAAATTGTAAAAGATAAACATTTCGTCCTCATCAAGTGTATACAATAACGGTCTTTATTAGAATATGGGCTTGCTATTCGCTGATTTTTTTGAATGATTATAGATTCTGATTATAAATAATTAGTTTTTATATTCTTGTTTGCTTTTATATTCAGATTATCAATTTTTTAATAATAAAAGTGCTAAAATCCATAATCACCTAAAGGATAATTTTCGCTGATTGTGAATATTTTTTTTCGTAATTACTTTTTATAATCAAATTTTGCAAAATCTAAACTAATCGAGAACAAGTCCTATATGAGCATCCAACTTCCAAAAAATCACAACACTCAAGGGCAGAGTCAAATGGTTGTGAGGGTTGCCAATTGTCTCCCCTCTCTCTAACTTTCAAAAAATTAGATATTAATTAGCGTTAAAAGTTTCTATTATTTTTAATTTATCTCACATTCTACCCCTGAATTTTGCAACATTTTCTTTTATTCTCATATTGCCCCACCTAAAAATATAAAAATTTTCCACTATCCTATTTGAAAAATGGAAAATAGCACTTGAATCAAGAAGATTGTTAAGACTTTTGAAACTAAGTGATAGAGAGATAATAATGCATTTTATTCGTGAATGTTTCATCATAAATTTGGCAAAATATGGTGTTAATTGATAGATTAGGCTTACATTTTGTGCTTTGTGTTGTTTACAGACATTTTAGCTTAAAAGGAGTTTAAAAAGGAGAATTTTCTAGAAAACTACTAGAATTCTGGTATGGGCACGCTTGCTTATTTGCGAAATCCAAAATTTGCGAGATTTGGGAAGATGTTTTTATTGCTAGAGCTATTAAACGAGCTTAAACGAACCGAGCTGTTAGTTAGCTTGGCTCGTTTAGACTCTTTTGTGTTAGATAAAGGCTCATTCTAAATTTTATATAAGCTGAGTTGGAACAAATATTTTGATTCAATAAGTAATCAAACGAATCGAACAAACACGAACTCGTTCACGAATTTAAACGATTGTTCGCAAAAATGGACTTAATTGTCATTTCACAAAATTTATGGTTAATATTGTATTCCTAATCCCTAATTCTGGGCTTAATTGCTTGCAAATATGGGCCTAATTGTTTGTGAATAGCTCATTTATGTTAAACGAGTAGAGTTTGAGCTCGAAATTGAACTAGAATTTTGCTTACGAGCCGAATACAAACATAGATTTGGAGCTCAAATATTATCGGGCGAACTTGAGATTTGTTCGAGTAGTTTAATGAATAGAGTTCAAACATGAGATATTCAACTCAACTCGGTTTGTTTTTAACTCTATTTATTGCTGGATAAGAAATCTTGAAGCCGACTCTTTTCCTCATCAGCAGGGCTTCAGATCCTCTGTCCCCAAAATAGTCCATGTCCCCTCTGTCCCTTATTTGTACAGCTGCCACGTGTCTCTAACCTTTTGTTAACCCAAACTCAAATAAAACCGTTAATAATCGGTTTACAAGTTTTGTTAACACAAATTCAAACAAACCGATAATAGTTGATTGACATGTTTACTCAAAATCAATTAAAACAGATAACTCAAAACTATTAAGTAATTAATTTTAAATCATCGTATTTACATAATTACGAGATGTAAAAAAATTAGAAAGAGCTAAATAAGTTGATATAAACACACACATGGTTGATAAGAATGTTAGATATTGGAATTTGATTCTCAAAAAATCATCTGCTGGATAAAAATAAGAGAATAGTAATAAAATTTCAACCACTCTTACTAAGTACACCTAAAAACCCTGCTAATACTTGAATAACCATGGTCTATCATGTTGGTTTGTAATATCAAACCCTTGCCTATTCATAATTCAAAACTTCTAAAGATTGTCGGATTTTCCATCAGTTGTGCATCTACAAACAAAACCACCAGGACATGGCATGGGACAGCCGCAAATTTCATTACAAGCAACCAAACTTGAACTCGGTTGGCTGGAAATGACATTAAGGTCTATAAAGTCATTGACACTTGATCCACTGAACTTGTGTCCTACTTCAACCTGTAAATGTAGAAAAAATAATCATAAATACTAAAATATTGAGATGAAATTCTCATAACATCAAATACTATCAATGGACAATTACTAAGTTACCTGAAGTAAGTCTGTCAATCTCATAGAATCTTGCAACTCTTCAAGAAAATTAAAATGTGCAACTTGGTTCATTTGATTTGGAGCTAAAACTGGAATCTATTTTTTTTAAAAAAAGCAATAAAGAGTGAATATCTACGACGTAATTAAATACAAATAGACCTGCTTAAATATCGAATGACATTAGTCAAAAATAAAAGCTTTTAACTATAATGTTTATCACTGAAAAAGTTTACTTCAATCACTTTGACTACTAAAGGTTTTACGGCATTACTGAAAGGGGATTGTACTAGTTTATTACTGAAAGGGGCTTTACGGCATTACTAAAGGCTTTACTTCAATTAGATACTAGTTTATGAACTATATTGACTTCACAGTGTATATAGATACTTATATGAACAATGATGTTGAGAGGGGATTGTACAATATTGTTCCCAACGCATACAAGTTCCAATGAATACAGGTAATTTCTAATATAACAAGACAAATCATGAATCAAATATATTGTAAAATTGGCATACATGATCTATTGATTTGTTTTACCTGGATAAAGATGAAATTGAATCTTGCTACTTGATCCTTTGAGCGTTTTTGCTGCAAGATTAAAGATATAATGAGTGAATCAAAATACTTGTTAGGGTTTAAGAAAAAGATGATTTGGGGTAAAAAATAAAGAAGAGTTTTAGTTGATTTCTATGTTTATGATCAACAAGACTCTTTTTTGTTAAAAAGAAAATAAAAAATAGTTTTGAGTTATCTGTTTTAATTGATTTTGAGTAAACCTGTCAATCAACTATTATCGGTTTGTTTGAATTTGGGTTAACAAAACTTGTAAACCAATTATTATCGGTTTTATTTGAGTTTGGATTAACAAAAGGTTAGAGACACGTGACAGCTGTACAAATAAGGGACAGAGGGGACATGGACTATTTTGGGGACAGAGGATCTGAAGCCACTTTCTTTATCTTCTCAAAGACAATTGTATGGATAGACATTATTTGCATCATTATTTTTTCATCTAATTTTTTAATTTTATAATCATTTTTTTTATCTCACATTCAAGTGCTACCATGTTACTTCCTCAATTTTTTTTCATTATTTCACTTTTTTAATGCTTCAAAATAGGAGCCACATTTGAAATGTCAATGGAATGTTTCATTGCTTTTCACCAGGGGTAGAGCTAAGACCCCACAGTAAGTGGGTCAAATTTTAGTACAGTAAAATTTATTTTTTTTTTAAAAATAAAAACTACTAATATCATATACATGTTGTAATTATGCCCTACAAGTACTCTTTTTTTTAAAAATGTTGCAAAATCAATTCATTATCAATTTTGTTAAATGCATCTTTTTCAATGTAAGTAACTGAATCTCTTGAATTTTTTTAAAATAATCTACAAATCACCATCAACTTGATCTTCTACAGATTTCTTTTATAAAATTTATCTTTACCATGTTATAAATAAAAATCATAATAACTTGATTTCGTATTATAAATAAAAAGTTTACTATCCACTTGAATAATTCTTGTTTTTGAAGATTTTGAAGTTTGAAAAAAATGATTTGAAAAATTGGTTCTCTCACTCCACTCAAGAAAGTTCTCCCCTTGTGTTTGGAAATTTTAGATGAATTTATTCTTGAACTAAATTCCATAGATAATTTGAAATAAATTCAAAATTATTGTGATGGTAAGAATTATGAATTTTCAATTTTTTGGGGTCAATGTATATAAGAAAGAGAATTTGATAAAATATAGTGAGGTCAAATAATATGTAACTTTAAAATTTTTCAAATTTCTTAAGCCTAAGAACTAATTTTTCAAAGTTAGGTGGAGTCAATTGACCTCACTTGCTTGTATGTGGCTCAGCCACTGCTTTTCACACTTATCCATTTGAAAAGATAACTTTTCTCACCTAACAATGCACTACTCCTAATTCCAAAATTTGAATGTGAGAATAATATTGTACGCATTGTGGACCGAGCTTCTCAATAATCAAATCAAGCTCTAACCCCGCAAAAGGGCTTCTGAAAAAGAAAACAAATTTGATTAATCGATTGAGCCAAGCTTAATTAAAAATTGGCTAGTTCTTTATAATTTGTCCACCAATTTATCTACCTCCTTAAATAAAAAAAGGCAAAAAATGTCAGCGGTCATTAAACTATTGACGAGATCAGATTTTGGCCATCGAATTATTTTTTGTCAATAATTGGCCACTAAACAATTTAATCCATTAACCCGTAACCATTTCGTTGTTAATTGCTCTTAAGTTCTGAAATTAGCATTACACGTAGCAATGTTCAGGAGTAATTTTGTCCAGTAATTTACTGACACAATTCAACCCCTCTGTTTCTTCCCCTTCTGAAACAGGGTACCCAACACCACAAATCATGAATAGTCATTAGATTTTTCTTTTCAACTTTGATTTCTCTACCCATAAATGGCACTTTTTCGTCTTCTCCATTTGCCATCATGTCCCACAAACTTCTTCTGCTTCCACCAGAACCTTTCCTCAGCTTCACCACAAACCTCCCACGCTCAACGCCACTCTCTCTTTTCCCTCTCTTTCATTCAAACTCCCATTCAAGTCCCAAAGATTCAATCTTTTTAGTTCCAAGTCCCTTTTTCAACCCAAGCCCAACCCATTACTCAAATTTCAGAAAATGCAGAAAAAGATAACCAAGAAGAAGAAGAAGATGACGATGAAGGAGAAGAAGAAGAATTCTCTAAAACCAGAATTTTAGCTGAGGGTGTTTCATGGACCTCCACTGTAGACGATTCAGCAGGTAGCGCTTCCTGTATTGGGAATTCTTGCAGCTGCTTCTATTACCTTCTATGCCATGAGCTTCGCCGAGCTTAGAGAGGTAGGAGGTTCCGTACTCCCTTTTTTTTTCCAATCCATCTTCATACTCCTCCTAACTAACTAACTAACTTGTACCCTCCAGAAATCTTTTAGAGACTTGGAAGAGTCTACTGGTAATGGAGGTTTCGAGTCATCCATGAGCTCTAGAAAAAGGCGGGCAAGGAGGACGGCTGATAAAGACGCCAAGCCTTAGAAGATCCAATTCAATTCCTCTGGTAATAGCAGGCATCATCTCATCCGTGTGTTGTTTAATCATTTCCTACAATGGGGGTAGTACCCCCCTTTTTTTTAGTAAACAGAGGATTTGAGTTGTAGCTGGACAAAATTGCCCCCGAAAATTGCCACGTGGAATGCTAATTTCAGAACTTAAGAGCAATTAATGACGAAATGGTCACGGGTTTATAGATTAAATTGTTTAGTGGCCAATTATTGATAAAAAATAGTTTGATGGTCAAAACCTGATCCCGTCAATAGTTTAATGGCCGCTGAGGTTTTTTGCCCAATAAAAAATTTTTAAAAAAATTGTCTAGTTCACTTCATAAGCAAAAGGATTTATGGTTCCATTTCCATATGATCAAACTATAGTAGAGTTCTGCTTTAAAATAACATACTATAAACAAAAGGTACAAACAAATGGAGAAAACAAAGTAGGCACCAGAGATAAAGCAACAAGCACAAGTACACAATGAATATTCCAACTAACAAGGCTGCAAGGGATGAAGCCAAAATACAAGTACCAACCAGGATATAGAACAGTGAGGAAAGTACTATGGTCCGGTAATGGCCGAGAAACGAATCGGCTATAAAAGCACACGAAAGTGGCAAAAGCTGCGCTGTGCCGGACCAAGCATTCACGTTCTCGGCCGCCGTAGCTGTGGTCGCATCAATTAACTGATCACTTATTCCGTAATAAACAAACCTATCTGCCATCTCCATACTGCAAAAAGAATAACAAAGAAAACTTGGCATTTTTTATTATTTAAATCTGTAACAGAATAATTTGGCTTTCTTTTTTTTTCGAAACGTTAGGATAATTTCATTCAGTGTAAAGAAATTTACATATGCAAGCAAAGACTCGAGAGAACTATACATTTAGTGTTCAAAGACACTGAGGAACATTCCATTCCTCATCCAAAAGAATGCCTAAGGCATTAAAGCTAAGTCTTATACTATTTTCCATATTTTCTTCTCTAACCAAGCAAAAGAGCACATGCGAAACAACTTGCATATTAGAGATGTCCTTAAGCAAAGTGGCCATTCTGCTATCCGAGGGACTCTGATGTGTTATTTGTCTCTCAATTCCTTGTTGTGTGAGTTGAGCTTAACTCTACTCCACTGTTGTTGCACAGTTTTGCATAAGACAAGTTTTAATGCCACTGCATCATCTAGGACTTTGTTTCCCAAACTTCTCTATTTTAGCTCCCATTCTGCAATCCTAGTGTTTGGAGTTATCCTAGCTGTGACTCCAATTCCAAGTGAGGTATGTCCTTGCTGACTTGTTGTTGCCACATCCAGGACTATGGTTTCTTCACCATCCTGATCCTGGCATTGCTCTGCATGCATGTAGGCTGTTTCTATTGTGCTCATCCTTCCCTTAGATTTCTCAATTGCCTCATGCTCCAACCATTCTTTGTGAGCCTTTTCAACTGTCCTTACTGGTGAGGAGTTGCTTGAGTTCTCAAATTCTTTTTTTGTTTCTATCTTTCCATACTTGCTACAAGATGTTTGCAGTTAGACCTATATGTTCCAGCCCTTCCGGTCTTTTCCTTGCCTCAGAAATTCTGATCCACCATCTTTTGAAGTCTCCCTGTTGATCTTTAGCACCATCCAATTGGATAGGGGCAGCCTTCCATATGTCAACAGTGTGTGGATAGCTTAGTAGTAAGTGTTCTACCGTTTCTTGTTCCTCCCCATAGGTTCTGCACATTGGATCTCCCAGTCCTGTCTTCTTGTATATTGCTTCTCTTACTGGCAATGCACCTTTTATACATTTCCAGATGAAGATCTTGATTTTGTGTTTGATGTTGAATTTCCATAGGGTGTGCCACATCTGTTTAACTTATTGGCTTCCATCTAAGTAGCTTGTACCAGCTGCATCAGTTTTGCATTTTTCAACACAATTATTTTCTTCCATCAAGATTCTATAGCCTGAGTTGACTGTGTATGTCCCTCCTGCTTGTGGTTGCCAATAATAACTGTCCTCCCTCCCTGACAAGCTTAGTGGAATGCTTAGGATCCTCTCTGCATCATTGTTGTTGAAAGTTCTAAAGATGATGTTCCTATTCCACCTTTTATGACAGATTAGCTCATTCATCATCTTTAAGTCACAGTTTAGAGGTCTACTGGAAGTTGGTTTACCAGTGGTTGCCCCTGGTATCCATTTGTGTTCCCAAATGCTTGTATTCCTTCCATTTCCAATTCTTCTGATCAGACCTTTATCAATTAAACTTCTGGCTCCCATTAAACCTTGCCAGATCCAAGAGGCATTCTTGAGTGGTTTGTATTTTAAAATGGACTCCTTGGGGAAGTACTTGGCTCTCAAAACTTTACTGACCAGGAGGTTTGGCTTGGTGAGAATCCTCCAAACCTGCTTCCCTAACAATGCTTTATTGAAAGCTTTTAGGTCCTTAAAGCCCAGTCCTCCTTCATTTCTCTTCATTGCCATTTTCCTCCAAGAAATCCAACGCATTTTGTTATTGCCATTTGTTTCTCCCCACCAGTAGTTGACCATCAATGCGCTAATATCTTTGCAGAGTTTCCTTGGTAGCTTAAAGCAGGACATGGCATACGTTGGCATTGCCATTGAAACTGCCTTCAGCATTACCTCTTTTCCTGCTGTCCTAAGAAGCTTGTTTTTCCAGTCATGCAGCTTTCTCTTTATGTTTTCTCTAATGAAGCCAAAGATCTGATCTTTTGTTCTCGAGATCACCATTAGAAGTCCTAAGTATTTCCTTTGGTTTGCTTCTACCATTCCTCCCAGTGATTTGCACACTTCCTTTCTCTACTCACAAGACATGTTTTTACTAAAAAAGACTGCAGATTTGTCAAAGTTGATCATTTGCCCTGAGGCTACTTCATAGGTTTTGAGGACTTTCATAATTTCAGTGGCTTGTTGCATGTTAGCTTTACAGAAAATGAGGGAGTCATCCGCAAAGAAAAGGTGGGTGATGATAGGTCCTTGCCTGCTAATTTTCAGTCCTTTTATCTTGTTGCTTTCTTCAGCTTTCCTCAGCAAGTTAGAAAAGCCTTCTGAGCAGATTAAGAATAAGTAGGGAGACAAGGGATCTCCCTGACGAATTCCCCTTTCTGGTGTTACAAAGCCTTTAGTTTTTCCATTGCAGTTGAAAAAGTAGGTGATAGTCTTCATACAGCTAGTGATCCAGTTGATCCATTTTGTACAAAAGCCCATCTTCTGCATCATTGCCTGCAAAAAATGCCACTCCACCTTATCATAAGCTTTGGCCATATCTAACTTGATTGCCATATATCCTTCTTTTCCTTGTCTTTTGTTGTTGAGGTAGTGCATGTACTCATGAGTTAATATCACATTGTCTAAGATTTACCTATCTGGAATGAAAGCAGATTGAGTTTTGCTTATGCACTTGTCTAGGACAGATTTCAGTTTGTTGGCCAGGATTTTGGAAATGATTTTGTACATCACACTACAAAGGCTGATAGGTCTATAGCTTTTCAAACAGGTTGGGTTCAGGATTTTGGGAATGAGTAATATGACAGTATGATTAACAGATTTAAGCATGAAACCAAAACTAAAGAAGGATTGAATTGTTGGGACTAGATCAACCTTGATAGTGCTCCAGAACCTCTGAAAGAACAAAGGAAACATACCATCCTGTCCTGGAGCTTTTTCAGGGTGCATGGAGAAAAGTGCAGATTGAATTTCACTCTCCTCTACAGGCTTAGTAAGCTTAGCATTCATCTCCTGAGTGATGGAGTAGGGAATACCTTCTAGAATTTCTAACATATCACTACTTCCTCCACTGTTAAACAGGTCCCTAAAGAATCTGAGATTTCATACACTAATTCATCCTCATTTTCTGTCCAAGAACCATCCTCCCTTTGCAGTTTCCTAATCCTGTTGTTCGTTCTTCTCCTCTTGACATAGGCGTGGAAGTATTTAGTATTCTTATCTCCATCTCTAAGCCAGCTAATCCTGGCTTTCTGACTCCAGAAATTTTCTTTCTCTTTGTAGGCCTCTTTCAACTGATCTTTGAGTTCTGCAATTCTACCTTTTTTGTTTTCTGCATCTGAGTCTCTTACACTCTCCAATTCCTTCTTCAAATAAAAAATTCTACTTTTAGAGTTTACCTGGAAGGTATTTCTCCATTTCAAAAGTTTAATTCTGCAATTTTTTATCTTCTTTGTGATTTTGAACATTCTGGATCCTTGTTCCTCCTTCTGCCAGGCTCTCTCAACCACCTGTTGAACCCCTTCCCTTTGAAGCCATCTTTTATCAAAATAAAACCTTTTTTTCCTTTTTTCTTTATCTAGAACTATGTCTAGCAGAAGCATACTATGGTCAGAAGCATAAGTATCTATGTGCTGGCATCTTGCCTTATCAAAAGTTTGAAACCACTCAAAAGTAGACAAACATCTATCTAATCTTTGCCTTACCTCTCCTTCATTATCCCAGTGATTGCTCCATGTCCAAGGGTGCCCTTCAAATCCTGTGTCTATTAAACTATTCTGATCCATGAAGTTATTTCCTTCAAAGACCTTCTGGTTTTAGTTGGAGACTTCAACTTTCTGAATGTTCTTTTGGTCTGCTTCTCAATAGCTTCCTGCACCTTCACATTCCTTTGGAGCTCTTCCTGTATCACTTCCTCCCCTGCAGCTTTCTTATTCATTCTATTTTCTTGATCCTTTGCTCGAAAAGCTGTTTCTCTGTCCTCCTCCATATCTTCTACCTCAACTGGAATTTGTTTCTCTTCTTCCTCCTGTGCTTGTTGTAGGAGGTCTTGTTTTCCCTTATCTAGGTACAGGGGGCCATTACTGTACTCTTGTGCAGGTTCTCTAGCTTCCAGTCTATATGGTGAACCTCCTAGACCATGCTCAATTGTCATATCCTCCAACTCCTTCATAAGATCCTGATTGCCTTTTCTTTCTTTTCTTGTGATCTTAAGAGTTTCCAAGATGCTTTCCTTCAGCTGTGTCCTGGTTCTCTCTTGCTCAATCATTTCTCCATTCTGGAATTTCCAGTATCTTTTGTCATTTGACATGTCACCGGTTTTTTCTGTGGTGAATTTTTGTTATTTCCTGCTCTCAACCAGGGCCCATACTGGTTCTCTGAAATGCTTCCTGATATGACTCTCTTATTTTTGCATGACCGTTCACTGTGACCTACTATTCCACAACTATAGCAAAAGTTTGGGCATCTTTCATACTTAAAGGCTACCCATTTGATAGAC